GTGCAATTTACGGTCATCGATACCATTTATCCCAATTATCATAACATATTTCGTTCTCAAGATCAATATTCAACACGGTGGATTTGGTATGTCAGATATATAAAAGATTCGCTATATTTTACATTTAATGATTCAATATGATCAATATGGTTTTTTTAATGAATTAATTCATTGTGTTTTCTATCATTTCTATCATCATAGGATTGAAGATGCTGGCAAGAGTTTTGATTTATGCTAAGAAATATGGATTTTATGGAAAGGTAACCAGATATGAATTGGCAGGTTTTCTTGATTAGTTATAGGATTGATTTGATGTCTTGAAAAAATTTGTGACTTGTAATTATACAAGTGTTTTTCTTGAAGTAATTGGGATTTCTTTTTTTCTTTTATATAAAAAAATTGATGTTAACAAATGCACCATTTTTTTTTATTATTATTAATACTTTTTAACTATAGAGCTTTGCTTTTGAAATTAAGGTTCCGTTTGACATTTCAAAAATTCGAAAATTTTTAAAAAAAATGTTGATTTCAAATATTGAAAATCATTTGATTTCGAATATCTAATTTCTTTTTTTTTTTTTTTTTAGGGAATCGTAATTAATCAAATCAATTGTGTAAGTATTGTTAAGGTTTTTTATCGGAAAATTTCTTACTTTTTTATTTTTATTTTATCCTTTTTTTTTTTTAAGGAACGTTCTTTCTCTCCTCAAGTCCTAAGTTAAGTCTTGCTCGATATTTGAAATCATTTTCGATATTCGAATATATATGAATTTTTTTATTTTAATATTTCAGTTTAGCTTCTTAAACTCACCTGTAATTCATATTTTAATGACATTCTTTAATTTTTGTTTTCAATTTTTTAATTTTTAGCAATGTCATTATAATATATCATTATTCTTACCTATTATAATAAATTTTCTATGGGGTTTTTGTTTAAATGGTAATGTATTATTTATTACATCTATTAAATATATTATTAGTATGGTAATTAATTAACATTTTTTTTTAAAAAAAACCCATAATTACGAAATTAATTACGGGGTGATAAGTACGTAACTAATTACAGGGAAGGTAATTAACTAACTATGAGTGTTATAATATAGATAATTTATTTTTATGGAATCTAAATTACATAAAATATTTTTCAATATATAAAGTGCATAATTATAATTCTGTAGTATTGAGACAACCGGTTGGTTTGGTTGGAAGAAGTGATTTCATTTCTAAGGAAGGTTAGACAGTATTTACTTTCTTCTTTCTACTTTATATACCCATTTTGGGATTTTCTTTTATTTTATATATAGAAATTGATTATTTAATTAATAATACTTCATTAAGTCTAAAAAAAATGATTCTGTAGCATTAGAAAAAAAATCTCTTTTTCCTTTTTTTTCACAAAATCAACAAAGATGCCAATAACTAGGTAAATGAAAATTAAAAACATTTGAACAAATTCTCAAACTATTACAAATAATAAAAGAAATAATAACAACATTAATAATAACATTTGCTCAATTAATTTTAATGAACAAAAAGAACAAACAGTTATTCAAAAAAGCAAAAATTTTAACTGATATTTCTTATCAAATTAAAGGTAATCCTATTCATAACATTATTTATAATATTGTTACCGCCAATAATACTCTTATTTTACCAAGTATTTTCTTTACTTTAGAATCTGTGATATTTGATAAAACCTTAGAAATAGTTATTAATCCAATTTCTTTCATCTCTAATAAAAATATACTTTCTTTTTCTATTAAATAAATTACTAATAATTCTATATATACTTTAATTCTTTTAAATAATAATAATAATATCATTCTTCTAATTGAAATTCTTCTTTCAAATAATAAAAGTAAACAAAATAAACTTTGTTTAATAAAATAGAAAATAATAACGAATCTTATGAATAAAATAGCAATGAATTCTCTTTTAATATTATTATTGTATTTATACATTTTTATATAATTGATAATATGTTAAATATAAAATAAACATCTATAGCAAAAAAAAAATACTTTTATTAACTTCTTATTTACTCATTATAATAGATATCAAAATTTCACATATATTTTTATAAATAAGTTTTTGTTTACTTCAACACAATAGACTCCTTAAAAATACAATCATAAATAAAAAAAATAATATAATCCAGTTTTACTATTATTGATTCTGTAATACAAATGAAAATAAGATGATTGAAATATCAAACTTCTTTTATTTATCAAATTTGATATATAGTATGAAAATATTTTATTAATATAAAATAATTTCTAATTTCTAAATGACATTAGAGAATCTTAGTAGATTACCTTCATTATATTTAAAAATGCTGATTCTATTAAACCCTTTACAATCACATGTGATTAGATGTTATATAAACTATTTTATGAAAGCAGTTTGAATTAAAACTTATAGGCTTACTCTTTAATACAGATCAATAATAATTTATTGATTTTTAATTTATATTAAAGCAAATTCTATTTTATCTTTCACAATTAGTATTATAGATTAAGATCATATACATATATTAATTTAATAATTAATAATGCTTGTAATTATTTTTCTTTGTCTTAAACTAGTTTTACCAATTTTGGATTTTTAATTTTACCAAATTTTACCAATTTCATCATAGGTTTTGTCATATAACTTGATTATTTTAAACATTAGTTTTATTAAGATTTGGCTTTTCAAGTAATTTCATTATTAATAATGCTAAAAATCTCAATACTGCTATTACATAATTATAGAAATTTAAATAAAAGTTTTTTATTAGATAGAATTATCAAAGAAATATTATAAAAGAGTTCAAAGATTATACAAATTATGAACCAACAAATTCATATTAGTAACTTTATATCTAAATAATATCATTTATCACATTCATTTTAATCTAATAACAAAGATTCTTTTAATATTATTAGCTAATATTTTTCAAAGATCCTAAAGCTCTATTTTTTTTAATCTTAATATAAAGTTCCTTTTAATATAGTAAATATTCTAAAAATTATCCAAGAAAAATTAAATATTATTAAAAATAAACTTATCTTAATTGATAATAAGATTATTTTACTTAAAAACTATATCAAAACAAAAAAATAACAATAAAATATAAAAAGAAAGAAAAATAATTTGATTAACTTTATTGAATTCCTAGAATTTATATATTATATTAAATATATCCAAAATAAATTGATAATTTTAACTATGAATTTTCTATACATAATAATAAGGAAATAGAAAATGTTTCTATTAAAACTTTAGTATATTTTAATGATAATAATAAATTAGCATCTAATTACAAACTTATCTACTAATATTAGTAATAAAGAACAATATAAATTAAGAATTTTTATTGAAAATAAAATCATAAATTTAGTAACTAATATATTTTTAATGTAATTATTATAGGAGTTTTCAATATTGATATTTCAAGAATCAAAAAAAAACCTGAAAAAAATATAAAATATATTATGATTTATAAATAAGCTTATTAATTTTAATTTTTTAAATACCATTATGTTAATTATTTTCAATTTATACATTTATATATTCTTATTAAAATTATATTTCATATATTGATTTGATTATCTTATTTTACTTTACTTTTACACAATATTATTTATTTAATATTTTTAACTTTACAAATATCATTTAATGATTTAGATCATCTTTTCTTACTTTTCAATATTTTTAAACCAATTCATTTCTTTAATACTTCTTTAACCTATAGAAAATAATATAAACTTACTAGAAAATCCTTTTATTATATTAAAATATCTAATTTATAATATCATAAATCTTATCAAAATGAAGTTTATAATCAGTTAATGCATATGCTCTATTTATTGCAGCAATAACCAATTCAATATTAAACAAAATTATCAAGAAATTCTTTAAATATTAGAATTGTGAAAAATTTGACTTTATTTTCTTTCAGATTCAGTTAAATTAAGCTTGAAAGTTTTTTGCTATCTTACTAATTAAAATCACTAGTAATATATTTTATAATTCTATAAATCTAAAGTATTCTACTATCTTATCTTTTCTTTAGGCTAACTTCACTAATGCTAAAATTTTTATTCTCTTAATAACTCTTTTTATTTGTTCTTTTAAATATTTTATAAATACAGATAGTCTTTTAAGAAAAGTCATAAATATTATATAATATAATTTTATTAAAAACAAGCCCTGTTTTTTTAACATAAAATATTAAATTTTAACTAATCAAAATAAATATATAATATATATATATATAGCAAGATTTAGCTTAATCTTTATAATAATTTAAAAGAAACTTTAATTATATACCTTAGTTAATGTTAGTGTTTTTTTATAACTAAATTTCTGAATTAATAAGTATGTAAACTTTTAATTTATTGTATGTGAAGTCGTCAGAGGTTCTTTAATATACTGTAATTATATTAAAAAATCTCTGACAACTTGGGTTAGGTTATGACAGTAATGATATAATCTAATGGTAATGGTATAATCTAATAGTAGTGATATAATCTAATGGTGATGATATAATCTAATGGTAGTGGTATGTTCTGACAGAGATAGTATAATCTAATGTCATAATTCAGTGGTAGTATTATAACCTGATGTCATAATCTTATATGATATCATAATCTACAAGTAGTTTTATAACCTAGGGTTTGGTTATCTTTATAACTTTCTAACTACTATTTTAATTAATTTCTGTTATATAATGTTATAGTAGATTGGTAGTATTGTGATCTATTGATATAATTATTATATAATCTTATGGTAATGATGTAATCTAATAGGATATATTTTCCTGCTTATCTATAACCTTTTTTATATCAAGAAATTATCTATGTGTTTATATTATTTTGTATTTTTTTTATTCCTAAAGAGTTATCCATTTGTTTACCTGCTTCTAGAACTGTTTGGTGGCCTGTTAAGATATCAAGAATGCTTTTTTGCGTCTCTTTGATTTTCTGTTAAATATCAAATTGTGATAAAAAATCGTGTCAGTGGTATAGTAAACTTGTGGTTAATTTGATCAGCTCTATGCTATAATTTCAGTTATCTTTAAGGTATAACTTTAGCTGATCTTTAGAGCACATGATTTGAGCATCTAACTCAGCATCATAGTAGTGTTATGGAGCTAGTGAAGAATTGGCAGAGAGCTTGAGTAGTTTTATTATTTTACCACTTTTATACTAGCTTAAATGCTGAACTTATATGCAATCTTACCTTTATATTTTTATTTAATTGCTAGGTTGAGACATGAAATGCTGAACTTGCAATCTATATATTTTCCTCTTAATTGCCATTTCTTAATTGCCAGATTGAGACATAAAGTGCTGAACTTGTAATCCATATTTATTTCTCTCTTAATTGCCAGAGATGTATCCTATATTTGCAATTCTGTCATATTTAACCTATTCGATTGCTGTGTTGAGATATGAAGTACTGAATTTACAATCCTGCCAATTGTCAAAAATGTATTGTAATCTATTTACTATCTTTTTGATTGCTGAGTGAGACACATAAAATGCTGATATTATGCTATTCTTGCAATCTCGCCTTTTATAATCTATTCGATTGCTAAAGTTAAGATACGAAATGCTAAACTTATAATCTATATATTTTTCTCTTGATTGCTATTTCTTGATTGCCAAATGAGATAAAGTGCTGAACTTGCAATCCATACGTTTCTCTCAATTGGCAAGTTTTGAATGCTAGGTGAGACATAAAGTGCTGAATTGATTCAGACTTCACAGCTTTCATACTCTTTTTTCTTATATTCTTCTAAACTTTTCTGTATTTTGATCTCTTTCCTGCCTATTGCCAGTAATATACTAAAGCATAACTTCTTATTTTCTTTCCTATATATAATTATACTTTGATATTAAAGCTCCGCATGAGCTGGCTTGAGCCAGTTTACCATCGGCTTGAGCTGAGCTGAATTATTTCAACTCATGAGCCAGCTCAACTTGAGTCCAAAATATGGCAAGCTAAGTGTGCTCATATGGCTTACATTATTAACAAAAATCTGAAAAAAGTTTTAGAGTAATTGAAAATTTCCAGAAAGCGATTTCCTTTATGAGAATTGTCTCCAAAATAGTTTCCTTTAAGAGAAACATCTCCAAATCGATTCTCTTGAAGCGAAAACGCTTCTGAAATGTTTTTCTTTAAGAATTACATTTCTGGAGTGACATTCTTTAAGAAATTCACTTCAAGAGCATTTTTCTTTAAGAAATTTCACAGGTCTAATGCTGATAAATTGGGTACCTTCCAGATTAGTCACTATTTTTTGATTAGCAATCAATAGATAGAAATCAGTAGATATTACAATCAGGTATAAATTGGTTAATATCATAATCATAATTATTAGGTAGAATTACATAAATCGGGTTTCAACCCGATTTTATACTTATTTTTAAAAATTTATAACTATATGTTAAATAGTAACAAATTGGTTTCAATTATCAATCATTTAATACCCGATTGATGATTATTATTCAATTATAATTTACTGATTGGTTTCTATATTAATAAATTTACCGATTGTTTTCAATTTATAAAATTATTCAATTTTACTGATTGTTTCAAATTTATTAATTTATTAAAGTAAACCGATTGTTACAAATTTATTTAATAAGATACAATTAAATTACAAATGAAATTGTCTATTAATTGGTATGACTGCCATATATTTTTTCAGTTTTCATACACCAACTATAAATTCACTTGGCACAAATCGACTATATATATTATGAACCGGGATGATACTATCTCTATCAATCTTATAGAATTCAACATTCTAAAGCTCAATATTACATAATTCTTCTTCAATATTAGATTTACAATGAAATCTTATTTTTCGGTCAGGAGCTGGTATATGCCATTTTATAAATGCTAAATGATACGTTATAGTACCTATTGAAAGGTCAAGTGAATGTTCAAAATAGTATTGTACTTCACCAGAAAATATATCTGTCATCTCATCGCTTTGTATAATATATGTGAATTCCTCATATATCGGAATGCAATTGTTGCTCTAAAGATTTCAGATCCAATCCTAATATAGCCATATTGATTAACATATGGTAAAATATTGGTGAGATCTTCTGTTGATGTTTCAGAAACTACACCTGCTATTGTTACAAATTTCCCATCCTATGCATTATTATAATATTGAATTAATAATTCATAAATATTATCTAATAAAGTCACGCGTTCTTTTTTGAAGAAAGCATTTATCCCAGAAATAGCTCATTACTGATAACGGTTTCATTAAAATGATGAAAGATTTGTATGAATCGGTATGATTCTGTAAAATCCAATTCATCATAAGATGCTAAACTTCTAGCTGTCGGATGAGACTTTACCAATTCAAGAGCTTGTGCCAGTTTTGAACAATTCAATTAATTTAAAATTAATTCGTCTATTCTTTGGTTTTGCACAATGATGCGTAGAAGTTCTAATTTGATTTATCACTTACTGTTCAGAAGGGATCCTATAAAGAAAAATTAAATAATTATTAATCATATATTTAATTATTTAGTAATTTAATAACAATTGATATGAAATCTCACCTAAAACTCCATTCATTCTTTCAAATGAATAACACTAGAATGAATACAAAGGATCACAATCATGACAGCATTCAGTAATATGAAGCGAAAGGTGTATATTTGATGTTATAAATTCTGGTCCATAGTTTTCTTCAACTAAAAGTGCTACTTGTAACAATTGAGCATGAACTTCAGTCAATATATTGTTGTCAATTATTTGACATATAAGTAATGAGCAAGCTCTAACAAAATTAACTAAAATTTTTCTATCTGGTAAATCCAAAAAATCCTATAATAATGGAGTCGCATATACTAAAATAAAAGTCTTCCATTGATCGGCAGTAAAGCCAGAAAACCTTTCTCCAATTGAAATTTTATTTGGGATCTGACCCAAATCGGCAGGTAGGTTGATGTTTTTTGCCTGTTCTTCCAATAATACAAGATCAATTTTATTAGACCATATCCTTTTTACTATCCAATAGGCAATACCAAGAAAAAGGCAATACATCAGATCGATGACAAGATATCAAATCGGGTTAAAATAAGGCAGCCTTAACATTTCTGACCAACGTACGTGTGTATCAGAAACATGCTGCTTTATTTCATCTTTTGTTTTGCATTGTCACCATCCTTCAGCATTTCTGATATATTCTTCAAGGTCTCATTCTTGAAACCAATCATCCATGTCTTTGAACCCACCAAAATTTGGTTTTCTACCTCCTGTATTTGCATATTTGTAGCATCGATGGCAGCCAGTTAATGCCAATATATGACCGCACAATTTTCTAGTAGCTGGAATATCATTTGAGCAGCAAATAACAGCTAACCTAATTCTTTTTCCATTCAGAAATTTTGTTGAGATTGGTA